ATATATATAATTAAATGTATATTATATGTATATTATCAAATTAGTAAAAATTAAAATATCAAAATTGCAGAAAATGAAAATATTGTAGATAAAAAGTTTCATTTTTTATATTGTTAAGTCGTGAGTATTAACAAATATAAATATAGATAAATGCATAGATAAAAATGTCATATTTTTTAAAGAATTTTGTTTTCTTCCTTTTCTCTTGCAATATAATTATTATTATATCTTTTTGAGTTACTTGTCATAATATGAAAATTTGCGCAATTTTACGAAAAATACAAACTTAATTAGTTAAAATAAATTCTTATTTGCAAAACAGTGTATAAAAATACAGTAAACAATAATAAGCGATTACTGTACCAATTGTGAAGATGAAGAGAATAAATAATTTTTCATTTCTGATTTTCTGATTTCTTTTTTTAATAAACATTTCTGATGGAAAGTAACATTTGAAGGAGATTATGTTATATCGCATGACGATTTATTTTACGATTTTTTATATCAATATTCTTTATACTAAAACAAATACATATAATAAATCAAACATCAATTTTTCAAGCAATAAAAACAAGAAAAATTGACAATTCTATTGCTGGCAGATCTCAGTTAACTCGACCTTTGATTTACGATCGCCATATCGATAGCACGTGGTGTAGTCCAACCTGCAAATAAAATGAGTCTCGAAATAGTCACGAGCAAAAAATACATTCTCGGAAAAATATCAGGCAATACTGTATTACGATTTTTATCGTTCTAATTACGTTACCTTTACTAACTTTAGTAAAATAATCTTGAAATTTTGTGAAAAAAGATAATTACGTCGGCTTATTATATTCATAATTATAATCATATGTGTGAGCAAATAATATATGTTTTAAAAACAATAGCTAATCTATTCGATGTATGATCCTTTATTGTAATAATCCAATTAATATAACATCCGTATTGAAATATGCTTGAAATATTCTATATGTATCGAAGGAATATGTCCTGTATTATCGCATTAATTAATACTGATACGAGTTAATTATAGCTCTTGTTATGAATCTTATTTCTCCGGAAGCCATTCGTCCACATGTTGTAATATAGACGTTTTATTCTAATCCTACGTTTCGTAAATATTATCAAAGTTTGTTCAACACGTTTCAGTTAGTGGATGGTCTTTGCGATAGCATTAAAGAAGCGTTGCCGCTATGAGAACCAATAAAATAAAGACATTGGCTCTTCTTATTCAATTTATCATTTATACTTCAAACATTAGAATATCATAAAAGATTTATAAAGAATTATTTGTGCGTGAAAGATTCCATGTTATATATAGACTCTGTATTGGTAATAACGAGATTATCGAACATCCATCGTATTTGTTGTTCTTTTATTATTATACAATATAAAACATTGAATATGTCAACACACACACACACACACACACACACACACACACACACACACACACACACACACACACACACACACACGCGCGCGCGCGT